CCCACGGCCGATGTTCGTCGTCGTGCGGGTGTCTCTAAACACGCGGGAGCCGCGCGTTTTCATGCGCGGCATCAATAAAGGCCCCGCCGATAAATTGCACCGTGCGGCTGGCTCGTTTTCCGGACTCGATCGTGGCAGTAAACCTTTACTGTCCCCGTGCACGTGAACCGCGCCCCCCGCCTCCCACCAATTAGCGAAAACCTATTTTTTTTTTTTGCTCCCCTCCCCCTCCTCAAGTTGCGCGAAGCTTCGTTCACCGGTTGTTCGAAATGTTTGTGCGATTTCACTTTGTTTCGAGAGGATGGCCTGCAAGATGAAATCATAGAAAAATTGTGGTGAAAGGCGAAACTCGTTTTTTGTGCAAGACGGCGCGAAGCAAATGAAAGAAGCAACTGTCGCAGAGTGTGAGCATTGAATTTCCAAGGAATCGACTCTCTCGCCGGTATTGATGCCGCGATGAACGAAGCTTGGCGACAAAGTCGCGAAGTACAGGGGGAGAGGGGGGAAGAGAGAACCGCAGCGTGGTTCGTTTCTCTTCTGCCCGTACCGATTCCCCGGAAGCTGAGGAAGTTCCCCGACCGGAGGTGGGGGGGGGTGGCAACCGAAACCGAGAGCTCGGCCGTGACCGATCGTCTGGTAATAAATCAAACAAGCCCCGCCATTCTGTACGAGATCCTCTTCAGTGCACGCGGCATTCAGGGGACATTTCTTTTCCAGTTGCCCCTCTTCCTTTTTCTGACCTCCCTCGTTCCTTTATATATATATATATATATATATATATATATATATCGCGCGACTCTGTTTTTTATCGAAACTTTTCTCCTTCTTCTTTTCATTTCTGCCCCCGGTCGATTATTGCTACTTCGACGAACGCTCGACGCAAACAACGTTCGACTCATCGTCAAAAGAGTTTGAAACGCCAGGTGAAGTCTCACGGATGATCGTCTCTTCTTTGGCAGCCTTTCCGCTTTTCGTTTCTTTCCTCTTTTGTTTTTCTCCCCCCTCTTTCCTGGGAAAGATGGGCGTCTGTTTTTTTTTCCTCGCTCCTCGTTCGTCCCATCATTCTCAATTGTTAATCTGCCCGCGATCGGGTAAGCTAGCCGCCGCTCCGCTTGTCAACCGAATCTCGCGAAAACGTTTGTTTGAATTATATATATATATATATAAGTGTAGAGATATAGATTCGAAAGAAACGAAATGGCAGTGAACAGATATCACGTAACGCTCGCACCGGAAGCGTCAGTCTTCGACTCTCTGTGTGGGGGTGTGCGGACTCGCGGCGAATCGGAGTTACGCGAGAGCGGAACTGAACCTGAATCAAGGCTTTAAAGAAAATTGTCGCGGAAACTGTGTTCATTTTCTTTTTTTTTTTTTTTTTTTTTTTTTTTTTTTTTTT